ACTAATAAATACAACTGGTCGTTTTATATGGCTACGTATTGGTAAACCTGATAAATACCACGTGATTTATTTATTTTATTTTAAGAACACAGTTTGGCGATTATTTTTTACGCAATGAAATTCCAAAGTGCAAACAAAAAAACCAGCTAAAATGACACAAACGTTAACAAATATAATGACTGGACAATTTAATCATGCGCTTTTTGGTAATATGATGTCTTCATACGCCCCCAATCGAGCATGCGCAGTACCTACCGTCCGTATGTAGTGGTGACCAGTGAAGATCCTTTGGGCATGGATTCCGAGATGGTATGTCCCTACCAGGCACGTCGGTACACCCAGAGCCAGGAATGAGCGGTAGACCAAAATAATAAAATAAAATTAAAATAAGTCCGTGCACATGTCAGAAAGGTATCAATTTTACCTCTGTTGATTGGATGGAAACTCCCATTATTACCAAGATGCCATTTACATGGAATACAAAAGAAACAATAGTGAAACCGGAAGTAAAAATTCATAAATGTACTGCACTAAATACTGTACATCTTTCGGGGAACTCGCGCCTTCTAGAGACGAATTACTTCTATGACGTAAATGAAAGGGAGGCAACATCGTGTTTGATCTGCAGTCGTCCGCCAATGAAATTAAACGTTTTTTAAGAGATTTAGTATATTCTAAATGAATACACAGCTGAACATAATTCTTTTAAATGATGTTGCTTTCTCCTATCAACGCCATTGACATTGTTGCATCACACGACAATTTCGTCGCTAGATGGCGCAATTTCACTCACCTATCATTGCCGTGTTGTAACCAGCATCGTAAAACACCTCGGCAAATGTGGTTTCATTCAGTGGTAGGCCCCCTACGGCAGCATTTGGAACCAGTCGTGTTCTGATGCCAAGGCGACTAGTCAGGAGGGACGCACGTGACGGTGAACAAATAGACGCCGCCGCGTGAAAGTCTGTAAATCTGTGAAATAATGTATTTGATCATAATGACCGAGTTTGGGAGATTAATCGTCACAAAACGAGATGCCAAAGTGACTGACGTATAATCTACCAAACGAGCTCATTATATTCTGTAAAATATTGACCACCTGTTGCAAGTTATTTTCAGTGTGTTTCAGTATTTCTTTCATTCGAATATGGTCTAGGCCATCGTCGCAGCAGTCGGCTATTTTACGAAAAGATCGTTTCAATGATTGTGTTACCAAAAAAATCCTCAACGAAACTTACACAGGAATATACAGGACCTATATTGTGCCTATTGCAAAACAGTTCAACCGACAACCAGTTATTGAGTGAGTTCTATGCGCGTGATTTTACTGTGCTCAAAATTTTATATTTCAAACTTCAAACATGCACAGACAAAGTGATTTCTCGAAATGTATATTAATCAGGTAACTTTGCCCTGGTAAAGTTTATTGAAAACATTATGCACAACTTTGAGTAATACTGCTAGAGTACAATATCAACATTACTTGCTATGATCACGTTAGAAAATAAACCTGTGGTTACTTTCAGCAGCTTGCTGGACTCTGATCAAAACATGTCTCAAACTAGCATGTAGGCCATCGGAAAGCATTTTGGCAAATTTTACTGAAGACTGGTTTTTCATTGCTCGTGAATTTTAATTCATGCAAATGTTACGAATTTTTCATCCAGTCGTGTCATGTAACCCCCACCCCCGGCTTCTTTGACTTGGTGAGCTATGACATGAACCAGCACATTTTCTTCTGAGGTTGATGGTTGACCAGGCTGGGTGTGGGTGTAGACTAACGTGACTGGGGACTTAAAGCGCGGTAGTCGTCGCGATGCGCATATGGGTCTCATATAAACAAAGATGGCGACTTTGACTGTTGTGCAGATCAACGAGTACGAACTGAGACGTTTCCAAGCTTTAATTAGTCACCAGCGGTAATCAGTGCAAGTCGCGCCCAGGTCAAACCTCATACTTGTGATTTCCATTTGAAGAGCGCATTGGATTATGGGAAAATCAATGTTTTATAAACGCAAATGTCGCACATGCGCAGCGCGACGACTACCGCGCTTTAAACGTCACTCAGCCTGGTCAACCAGCAACCAGCCAATGTGGGCGATCCCTGCAA